CACGTTGCATCTCGCAGGCTGGATAGTGATGGATGGACTACTGCTCAGATATCCCAGCTTTCTTTTAGTTCTTTGTTTTCGGCACTCAGCCCGCTCCCTTGACCCCTCCTTCCGAACTCTAACAAGAAGCTTGGGTGTAGCTTACCAAAAGTCGTCAAATAGCACTGTAAGCAATTTACCATGAAATAGATTGGAGATCCTGAATCTGGCGGCCCTCAATATAAGTACTCTGATGCACGTGGACCAACAAGCTTGTTTGGCACGTATAATGGAATCCATAGGGAACAATATTTTCTGCGTGTCGGAGACTTCAATCCAGGATCCTACCACTATAAGCTACTTGAGCACGCCAGATTTGTCCTCGAGATATGCTCATCATCATCAAGTGAGGATGAAACCCGTCCAGTAGATTATCGCAGGGTAGTTATTGTACTCAGTAGCAGGACCGAGCCCTCTCTTGTTGATTGGATCCCCGTCAACAGTTGTTCATGTACAATGTGTCTCCAGGATTCAGTCAGCGTCAGGAAGGGAAGCAACATCAAAAAGTGTTTACCCATTACATCGGTATATGCACTGATCATTTGCAGTTTTGATAAACAAAAGGACGATTTCTGCGATAAACTCACCGAATTCATTCGGTTGAGTCGAAGCACTGACATAGTTGTACTTGCAGGTGATTTTAACGAGCAGCTTGGAAAATTGATCGCGTCACAAAGGTCAATGGCTATAGGCCAGACCAAGCTCAGTTTCACAAGACCAGCTGCTTGGGCACCTCCTGGTGGATGTTATTATATCATATTTCACACTTGTCTGAGGACATTGTGTGCCAAGCAAATCATGGTACAATAGTCTTTATGAAAAGAAAAACGTTCCATGATTGGCTGAATACTGCCAGGTTGCCCAGGCCAAGGCAGATGCAACCAGACGAAATGTTCCTGCGGTTCGCCACGCTTTGTGAAGATTTCGACGCGAATCATAGACCTTGTTTTTTACTAAGATTATTGTACGGTGATTTCTATGGCACACAATCTGAACTCAGGCTTGTGTGGAAAAAAGCGTTCAGAGTGGTTGTAACGACCGGCCCCTTTCGCTTCGTTTCCGTTGATCACCTATCACACACGCACTCACACACTGATTAACCGTGCGTTTTCTGCGGTTATGGTGCTGTAGATTGGAAAACGAAGTAGAGAGATATCACACAAACTGAAACGGATCACTACTCTGAATGAAAGAGTATTCATTTTGTTTTGCCCAGTTTTCTTAACCTAACTTATTAAATTGACTCTGTTCCTAACCGAGTTGTTCTTGAAACCTATTCTCTGTGATATTTTTCTGCAAGTTTTATCGTTTGTTCATTTTCAGTCGTTCGCCGAACTAGGCAACCTGACCACAAAGCATTTCATCATCAACCGAAGTGACGTCTTCAATGCTTGTTTGACGACAGTAATCTGCTTTTGTCCGTTCGATCATCTAGGTTTTTCATCAGCGATTTTTGGCCCATCATCTTCGATGATCTAATTCCAGTTAGGCACAAGTATGTAATAAAAAAAGTGAGAGGGTAATGCATCCTGATTGAAAACTGTTGGTCACGAATTTTCGTTGAGTGTTCTTCCAGTTTAGCCAACAGTGTTTCTGGCAGTTGTTACAGCTTATTTGTAAATATCGTTTCCGGTCATTCTGTGTTGTTTTATCATTTCGCATTGAAAAAAATCATTCGCATGTAGGTGGTTTATGTGTGGGCCTCTAGGATTATGCATCACATCAACCATTTTAATGTGATTCCCGAGACATCTTTGCTTTATGGGAAACTGGTTCTCATTACTTATCATTCGTTTGGTTTTTTTCTCATTTTTCTGGTTAGATTCAGTGCGACAAAGCTGCAAGCGTAGCCATTACGAGCCAATACCTTGCAGAGCCCTCCTTATTCTTTTTAGTGCATCCGTATTGCAGTGGGTTTGTCTTCTTTTGAAAAGGGTCCTGACGCATCTTTCGAATTGATTTTCAGGCTTGAGATTTGAT